GCCCCGCGCATGCGGCTGGGGGGGCCGGTGCCGCCGTCGTTGCCACGCGAAGGGGGTCGTTGCCACCGCCGCGTCCTCAGTGGCCGTGTGGCCGCTCAGGCCCGTCCTGCTGGGGCGGCCGCGTGCAGCCCTGTCCGGCCGGCCCGGGGATCAAAAGGGCTTGGACGTCTGCTTGAAGATGAAGCCTCTGTGGGCCAGCGTCTTCATGATGTTGGCAATGTTCTTGCAGTCATCTAGGGGCAGAGAGAGAGAGAGAGGCAGGTTAGCACAGCCCAGGCTGTGCGGAAGGATGCGGTGCTGGGGAAGAGGGGCGTCTCCAGCACTGCAAGGGTTCGAGGCTGGACAGGCACTAGTGGGGATGAGCTGGGCGCAACAATGGCTGTGCGCGTCTGGGGGTTTCCCAGGCTTCTGGGTCCTGGCTGGGGGGTCTTGCAGGGGCCAAGGCAGCCAGGGCGTGGGTCGAGGTGCTCTGCAAGCACACAGGCCCATGGCTGGTACCAGGAGCCGCTCCTGCACCCCCAGCCTGGCACTCAGCCCGGGACCAGGTCATGGCCTGAAGCCCCAGGGCCCACACAGGCCCCTGGCCCTGGCGCACGGCTCTTGCTCTCGGTGCTGGAGCCGAGGGCAGGGGGACAGGCCTCAAACTCAAGGCAGGCGGCTCGGGGGGCCGTGTCATTCACCCGGGGCTTGCGGCGGGGCTTTAAATTGATTCCCGGTGTCTATATTTCATGCTGGAAATTGGCTTGTACATCCCCGCGGTGATCTATGGGGGCCGTCTCCTTAAGAAAAAGCAAGAGTAAATGTGTAATTTCTCCCTTGACAGCCCACGGCGCGGCGGCGATCCTTCTTCCCGCTCCCGCGTTCCGGGACAGCGCCGCCCCCTCCCCAGCGCCGCACCGGCCCCCGCGCCCCACGCCTTGATGTCTCCATTTCATTACCGCCCGCCCATTCATCACGCTGTTCCCGTAAGGGTGACTTTGCCCACTTGCGTGTGGCCAGCCAGGCCGGCGGGTGCAGGGAGGGGTGCCCCGGCAGCGGGGGGCTGGGGGGCATGGTGCTGCCCCCCAGGCGTTGGAGGTGGCAGCTGGGGGGTTGGAGGGGGTGGGGGAGCATCCTTACTGATGTGTAAATGATAAAGAAGCCTCCACATCCATCTCGGGACTGTAAATCCAGGCGGCGCGGTACCATCAAGCCGCAGCGATAATAATGTGAAATTAGGTCTCTCGATCAGCGGGAGGAGGCCTTTTAATCACGGCTTAAAGGGTGCAAACGCTGTTTATCATAATTGAACTGTATCCGGGCTAATTGTGCCCATATTTCACTGTCTCGGAGGCAGCCGCCGCCTGGTGACGGAGGCCGCGTCGGCCGCTGGGAGACGCGCCGGGCGGCTCCCAGGTGTGCCGGCAGGTGCTGGCCATGGGTGCATCCTTACCTTTCTCTCCTGGCCCCCCCTGCCCCAAGACCTCCCCCACGGCTCCAGGGAGGGGAGGGGAGGGGAGGGGATGCTCTGGGTCACACCCAAACACAGCCAGCTTCCCCTGGGCAGTAGCGGGCAGCCTGGATGCCACGGGGACAGGTACGGCAGGCCTGCTCCCACTGGCTGCCAGGTGGACAGGCCTTGCTGTCCCTCCATGCCAGGACCCAGAATGGGGCCTGTGCTGGCAACCCTCTGCAAGGAGCCCCAGGGATGGGAATGCAGGTGTCCTTGCCCCCACCCGTGCCTGCCCTCCAGTGCCGGCGTGGCACCAGTGCCTAGCTGGCTCCCTCGGGCACGCGGCATGGCTGGGAAGCCAATGGAGGGGAAGCAACCATGCTCCTGAGTCCTGGGGTTGGGGGACAGCAGGCCAGGGCAGCTCTGCCACTGCCACCCCTGATGTCCCTGGGCACCTCACTGGCTTTTTGGCTCCGTGGCACAGGTGCCACGCCATGCCACAGGCACTCAGAGGACCCCAGGGGAAGACACCCAGCCCCATGAGCACCCGGGCCTCACAACCAGCACCCAGGTCAGGACACGGGCAAGTGTCCAGCCAGCCACGTCAGAGAGGAGAATTCATGATGTCGGAGGCAGCTCAGCCAATTGTAAAGACCTTGGTGAGGCTTCACCTGCATGCTGCCT